GAGCAAAATTTCGGAAAATTCTCAACATTTTCGAATCGGGTATGAGAAGTTATGAACATGTACAAAATGTTGTTATCTCAACACAGAAAGTTTCGGAAATATTTACATAAAACCATAATATCGGGTCCTCTTTCAGATAACTTCCCAGGGGGTATTTCTGGGTTCATGTTTATATGAACTATTTTTACTATTTCTGTTCCTGGAAACCTGTAGTTGAAATTTTCATTTCAGGACAGTGTATAATAATCTTAGTTCTAACAATGTAAAGATGGTAGTATTGAAAAAATCTCATAATTAGAGGCGAATACTATTTACTCAACTCGAATTTCTATCACATGGAATACAAAACCAAATATTTTCCTGCCAAGAAATAAGTGTTCTGAATAACTATCAATCGAAAATTCATTCACACACTGATTGATCAATCCTGAATCGACAACGGAGATTTATATTTTCCATTCCTGCCCACAGGGCTAGTTCATTCATTTTCAGAATGCGATTCAATTCAGTTGACATAAATCTTAAGTGTCAACCTAGATTTCCGGTTGAGCTGACCTGAATCGATAATAGTTTGATGTGCCGTTCTGAAATGGCACAAATGATTGCATTTCGGGCCAATAAAATCATATCCGGATGCTTTTTATTACCGGTTGGATATATATTTTCTGGATAATATCACGATATTCTTGATTCCATTGAGTAGATTGAGACACAGATTCATAATGATATTACAAAAATACGCTATAAAGAAAATTCGAAAAGTTATATTCAAGTCATCTACAAAATTATTATTGACCCAAAACTCATCGTCATCCTACGAAGGGCTGATAGTCCAGCTCATGACTCACCAGAATATCATAATATCATCACTCAGCAAAATATGAGATATTTCGTGGAAATCGAAACCTTTGATCCTGTATAGTTATCCTTATTAGTCTTACTCCAGAATGTTGATGATATCAACAATCACGAGTTGAGAGAATAAGAATGATTATTTTATTTTATCTTGAATAAATATATTCATAAATATCTTTATGTCAGTGAAACGTTCCATATATTTCTTAACGAAATCCCATCCATATTGGGGAGAATGGAGTTGAAATAGATCTTACAAACTACTTCAAAAGCAGTCAGACCGGTATATAGAATACAACAAAAGGAATGAGGAGGAAAATAGTTCTGGGCAGAATTTTCACGATTTCCTTGGGCTGGTGTAATGGAGCAGAAAATTTCACGCGAACTTTTTTCTCACTATAACTTTTCCAGGGTGAATTTGCATAACTTCTGCTGCATTTGATTCAGCGACTTCACATAGGGCGACGACAAAAAGGAGAACCTACAGGTCACAGAAAGGCTTATGCAACTTTAACGACTCTCTGACGACTTTTCCTCTTAACAGAAAGCAAATAAACTGTTAGACCTCTGAAATGGTAGAATTCGAAATGAAATACTTTGAATAAAGTGGCGAGAATGCATCAGTAAACAAAATTCATCAAGAAAAAATATACCAAACCCCTAACTCTGGTACAAGTTTTGGTAGAATTCTTAATTGTTTCACAGTCAGTTATGAATCAGACCATTAGGAATAATACATTTCAGGGCGCTCTATTGTTAGTTCTTTGTCAGTTCTATAGTATAAGCCTAGTTCTCATAAGATCTTTGTTGTTGTTGGTGGTACGCAATGCATTGAAAACTTATTCTTCAACTAGGTGTATTGATATTTCATGAAATCGTTGGCATTGATTCAAATTCAAGTACAAGTTTGTAAAATAGAACTTCGTCATAGAATTGTCTAGCGAATGATTGCATACCCATTTATGAGTAGGCTACCAGGAACTCGAGGAAATCCGTGGTTCATTTCTTGAGAAAATCATAGTGCTCTGATAATATGGGCATAGGAAATTCAAAAGTTGATCTTATAAACAAACCCATTGAATGATATTGTTTATCTCTTCGAATTGATATTTTCTCAGTGATCAATAACGAATACAGATTGCTGTTGTGAATTTTCTCTTGAACATTCAGAGCTTGTTATTATTTACTAGTGTTAACTTTGATATCTCCTATTCCGACTCAGTGGTTCAATGTTATTCTCGCTCATCAATCGATAATTAGGTGAGTAGTCAACTTCTTGTCATCATTTTTCCTTTATCAGGGCAATAAGATAAATGAACTTCGAAAGTTTTCAAATAATTTTGATTTCCTGTTGATGGAACTGCATCCAGGGAAAACCAGGTAATCGACTCGAAACTTCTGTCTTTCGCAACTTTCTCATAACTTTCACGTATCAGATACTTGGATAATGAATTTTCGTCACTGAGCTGGATATTTCAGATGACACTTATACATCCTTAATTACTTTGGAAAGTACTCTGCAAGAAAACTTGGAGAACTGGCTCTTGATCGAATTGGAGGAAATCTCACTATGTCATTCAGTCAATTCGACCGATACTTAATTTTCCATTTTCGCTTTCGTGCGGGGTCCTTTATTAGTTCGAAACGTCGATAGTTATCAATCATTATTCAGGTGAATTAATTATATGAAATGTTGAATTTCTTGCATCGAAATATGAGAAAATTTTCCAACAAATTTCGGGATACGAGTTTAATGAAATTTCTTTGGAATTACTCCATTCACATACAGTGTGTGGGCGACATCAACTCGCAACGCCCTCCTGGAATCCGTTGACTGAATTTCGAAAACAAAAATTCAATAATATCTCATGCAACGAGATCTCTTCAAAAATCTTTGCAAATCTGAAATATTCAGATTTTCTAAGCCTGTGTTGAAGAGGTCGAATTTTCAGATAGGACTGCGTTAGGATAGCAGAGAGCTAGGAGGTAGGTGTTGAATTTTTTCCAACTCTTGGAGGATGATGAGTTCTTGGGAATACTTCCACAGGCGAGAGTTCCGAAGCATTGCTGTTCTATAGACGAACGAGTTTTGGTAAAGCGTTGTTCGACATATTCCGAGGTTAAAAATGATGGGATGTGCTGACTAGTATTGCTATAGATGGAACGATGGGAGAGATTTTTGCGGACTATTTCTCGTGGCAGTATCTCTAGAAAAGTGAAAGGTCGCCGACCTTTCTCGGTGTTTCAATGAGGTCAAAGGATTAGTGAGTGTGGCATTACCCATCAGGCTGATGGCCCTTTTCTGGATGAAATCTAAGAGCCTCAGCGTATGTTTGGGTGCTGATAACCCCATATGTGGGATCAGTATTCTAAAAACTGGCCCTATCTGTGCTTTTCAGATGATGAGAAGCTTTCGAGGTGTAAAGTAGACTTTTGCTCGGAATGAAAATCCGATATTTTTGTAAAGCAGCTTTTGGTGATGGATCGAACATGACTTATCCATGAAAGAGTATTGCTGATGGAAATACCAAGCATAGATATAGTGGTTTCGGTGGAAATGATGGTACCAGACATTGTTATAGTTATCAGGCATACTGAGTTTCAACTTTCTATACAAAGTACAGGCTTGAGTTTTGGTTGCGTTCAATCCAACTAAGTTGTTGGTTCCCCTGGCTATTATTTCAGCAAGTTCTTAGTTTCCTGGGGAGAAATGAGAGTCCTAGAAGGGAACGCAGTATGAAGAGTATTATCGCCTGTGAAACTATGGATAGGGCAAGTGGTTGCTTCCAATAGATCATCGATTTGAAATTGATGACGATTATATCAGACGATACTCTGTCCACCACCACATGAAGCGATTTGCCTGAAGAAAAACTTGGTAAAAGATTGCATAGTTGAGGTGGTAGTTTGTGGAGGAGACCTTCGATATATCTAACGCGACATCTGTTTTTCACTAGACTGTAATTACCCCCAGTGGATATCTATCCTTTATCAATTACATAATATAGTAAATAGATAAAAACAAAATGAATACAATTCAATGAAGATCGATCTAGTGCGACGAGTGGAAAATGGTTTGAAATACGAAGTTTCATGGTTGTAACATGTACAAGAAGTTTTCTCTAGGTCAACCAAAAATCAATCTATCATTTGAGTGGTAGAGTGTGCTTTTAATAGATATTGATGCGTCCCAAACTGAAGAAGGAAAGTATATAGAGAAAGTTCTTTCTGATATCACAGTGCACACTGAATAAAGTGATATCGAACGTAATACGTTAAATGAGTTGATATCTTCTTTTCAGCAGATTATGTGGGAATATACTGTGATGATTTGAAAATATTCGGTCATATCTCACAAACGGAATATGAAATCACAAAATGCTCGAAACCGTTTTTTTCGTTGTTCAATTTGAACTACAGAGAGTCTCGTAGGGACACATTCATTCAACACGGAATTCTAACACTTACTTCCATATATCTATATGAATTGCAAGTATACACTCATTAAAATGTAAATAAGTTGAACAAAAACAAGAATTACCATGAATGCAATACAAGAAAGAGAAATAATCGTCATCTACATCATCTACATCAGCAACACAGAAATGAGAAAAAGACATCACCACTTTATGCCGGATGCTATTTTTACAATCTGCTACCTGGGAGTTTCGAAGCAATAATGAATGAAAATAAATTCAAATCAGCTTCAAAAACAATTTTAATGTTTCATGCATTCTATTCTCTGGACGAGTATATCCATCTTGCAGTTAGTGATTGAAATTTGAGATTAAAAAAAACCATGAGTATTTCAATGTTTGTTCTTTTGCTATAGTTCACTCCACTGTATTATATCGAAATAATATATTCAACGAATTCCTACAATCTTGGTATTATGGGTTTTTCTACAGAAAGGGAATTTCCAGAATATCATCCCCTGGATTCATTACTGCTTTATAAGTGATATTCTTCCAATCTGAACTAACGGAAATATTTCACTAGAACTGAACTGAATCAGTTAACATGCGTTCTCTCGAAAGACTTCAATACGAGAATATGATCAGTTCAGGTGAATAATTTCAGTTTATTCAGAACGAGACAATATCACCATTGTAATCAAGGAACTGAACTATTGATCTTTTTTTCAGGAGGAAGCATCCAGGGAGTAGAAATTCTAATGCCCCCATCACATGTTGCTCTCAGTGGTGATCTTCACGTCCAGATAGCATCGTCATCTTTTCCTCCTCTTCTGATGCAACTCTCGCGACTAGAAGGAGATTCGGCTCAACCCCTAACTACCTTCCCAGTGTATCCAGTGGCGAGGGCCCTGAAAATGAACTCGACGGTGGTGAAGATTCCATGTGGCTACTTCTCTAGAGGAGGGCAATACTACGTACTGGTGAAGAAACAACCAATAGGTGAGCCAATGCTTTTCAGAATTGGGTTGGCATCAGACATCATCATTTATCCTGACAATGATTACGATATCGACTAAAACGCCATTGAATCTACCTAATTTATATCATGAGCGAAAATACAGTGAACAAATGATAAATCTTTCCAATGAGGCACTCGGGAGCAGAATTGTACAATCTGCAGTGGTCCAAATATCCCCAGTCGCATGGACATTTCAATACTCGTTGCTATTTATTTCATTCATTTATTTATTTATTTTTATTCATTCATTTTTCACACTGTTCAACAGGTTGCCCCATTTACAGAAAAGGAAGAAAAGGAAAAAACGAAAACATATGCATTGCATATTACATAAGCATAATTGATAGACGAAACAATATGACAAAATGAAAATATCCTGACTATCTAGTTATTCACTTATGAAGGAGAAAAAAGATGAAAAGTTTTGGCATGAGCTATTCCATAGCTGAACAGATCTAGGTTCCTAGCTACTAAGTTATATGTACTACACATCTTATACAAAGGTGAATTTTTATATATGTTGGTTCGAGGAAACTCTAAGTAGAATGTATCACAATTTCTGGAAGACAATCTCGGGATAATTAAGTTCAATTTTTCCAACAAATCTGCACAGTCAATTATTAGATTGTTATCAACCATATAAAGGATGAGGATAGAGAAGTATTGTCTTCTTACGTGCAGGCTTACAAATTGAAAAGTTTCAAGAAGCTCTCATGAGGTGTACCAATTGGAGGGTATGTACCGCATGACCTGTAACTCAACAGTTTTAAAAACCGTCCGTTCTATGGAGAAGTGTTCTAACTCTAACTATCACTTGGGCCAGAATGGAGTTTGAGATTTTATATTTCCAGGATATTTTCCCGTGATATTGAAGTCTCACGATTTTGCCTTTGCTGGAAATTATGAGCCAATTATTCTTAGTCATCTGTTGAACATTCAGTGAATACTTGTGTTTTGCATTTTGATAATGATTCAACAGAGTTGATTAGGAATTTGGATTGAAATCATCAATTGTCTAGATTAGAAACTAAAATTCGTTTTGAAATGATATCCTGAGTGAGTTTCGCTGCTCTCGAAACTAAACGATTCTGCCAAATGTCCAGAACACTCATTATTCTGAATGATGTTGATGTGGATGGAATAATGAAGATACATTGTTTATTGAGCTTGTAATTACTTGATATATCTAGTGGTCCTGAGTATAAACTCCAAGACGAATAATGAAATAGATTTATACCGGGTGATACAGACTCATGGTATACCCACCGTTTTTTTTTCATTTCTTTACCTACATTCCTGAAATTCGGAATATAGAACATCTCACTAGAGCACACTCCATTTACCGGTTTTCCTGGGAATAAAATCATTTTTTCAAACCCTGTAGTCCATTCGACAATCGGTTGAGGATTATTATGACCAATTCAACGATACCGAGTTCCATTGATATATTTCAAACGATTCCGAAGATATATTCGCGTTCGAAGTTTCCATATGGTCAATGTGTGTGACAGAGAGAAAAGTTTCGATTTTGAGACGTCATGCCCATTGAGCATATGAAAACTTCGAACGCGAATATCTTCGTGATCGTTTGAAATATCCCAATCAAACCTGGTGAAAATCGAAAGTTGATGTCATCTCCAGGAATACCAAGAGATAAAAAGATTCCTAAGATGCTAGGACGAGCCCTATAGTGAGCATATTCGATGTTTCAAATTTCCGGAATGTAGCTAAAAAAAAAGAAGAAAAAGAGGGTATACCATGATTCTGTATCTCCCGGTACAGAAGACCCAAATGCAATATTAATATTGACTGTTTTCTCCAGTAAATATAACTATTATATCTCTCTTTTATTTTGTATCTCTTGAAGCGCAAGAAAGGGAATCCTTTTAATGTTCGAACACCATCGTTAGTATCTTGGAATTTTCTCGGAACTTTTCGACATTAGGTATAAGTTCTTAGGAATACTTCCTTTGACAAAGAATGCCGAAGCTCTATCCTTCTATAGACAAAAAGAGTTTTGGTTAAGTGTGGTTCGACATAATACAAGGTTGTCCATGAAAGGATGTGCTTTCTGGGCTTGTCAAGCTCGTCTGACTGGTACTGCTGAATATGGAATGATAACAGAGATTTCTGAAGAGTAAATGATTATTTCCATCAGTTGCATCATAGAAAGTGGATTTTTGTTACCATATTTGATGTATATGGAATGACACAGTTCAATAGATAAAACGGTTTGAGTTTGAGCACATTTTTCTATTTGTCGTTTTCTCAAAGCTTCAATCTTGTACTCTGGCCATTCGACATTAGAGAGACCAAGTGTCTATAACTCTTCTCTTTGACTCTCTGTCTTTAAAACACCCTATAAAGATATCATCCAGTTTAGCTAGTTACGACGTTTTTGTATGAAGTTACAGAATAATGATATTCGCCATTCCTATACAGTCTTGTTTGGAAGGTGGCATTGAATGAAGCTCATCATTTGCATAATATGAATAATCACGACTATATTCTCCTGAATTCCGAAGTCTGTATAGTAACTGAATATGGATCAGTCAGACGGTTGAAATATGGATCAGCTGAAATCCAAAGAAAACTCACCAGAAATCGAGTAGTAGAGAATTAGTCCTTGAGATTTAGTCGGCAATATGATAATTATGAGTTTGTCGAGAGCCATTCGCTATTTAAAAAAGTGAAGAGTAAGTGAAATAACGGGTGATTTCATATATTGATAAATATTCACGAATTGATCGATAAAACTGATATCTCATACTCTAGTTCATTAGAATCCAATGATTATTTGAATAATCTGATACCCTGAGCATTATTATCGATGGAGTGAGTAGAAGTTTAGAATCTTTGGAACAATTCCATTGAAGTGAACATTCAATAGTTGGTGATCTGTGCATTTGTAGCTTGAGTTCATCAAACCGTTCAGTTTCGAAATTTTCAAAACATTCCATCATTGTTATCACTGTTACCACCACCACCACCAAGCTTTTTGAAAATGATGATTCAGTTGATATATGCAAATTTTATGTTTAATATTTGGTAATAATATTCTTGTACACCTACATCGGTTCAATAAGCAGGTTTCTGTTTGTGATAATATCGGTGCGATGTTCACCAGAAATATAATTTGCTGGAATTCATGAAGAAAAACCTCCGGTTGTTATAATATTTCTAGGTACATGTAAAGTGCAATGTATGGGGCGCCGCTTGGTTCATAATTATTTTTTCGATGTATAGAAATTTTAACGTATAGAAAAAATCCTATATAATATACGAAATTATCAATATTATATGCAAAATTTCTTATATCGTGTGAAACATGTTCTATATATTCAAGTGCGACGAAATTTCAATATAAATTAGTATGCCTCGCGCCGTTTGGTTCATAATTATTATTTGTGATATATAAAATTTTTACTGAATTCATATAGAAAAAAGTCTATATCAAATGCACAAATTTTATATATGACGAAATCTTCATATATTTGCGTGTCAGGAAAGTCTATATTTGCGCGTCGCGAAAGTTTATATTTGGTTGTACCAGTGTGTGCAGAAATAGACTTTCGGGTTCCAGGGTTAACCGATAGGTGGCTGAACGCGGCTGGACGCAAGGAGATACTTCAAGAGCCTTATCTCAAACTCAGTGGAAAATTGAGGACTACTGTAGGTTGTTGAACATATTCACTGATAATATACTGGCCTGTGAAAGGTTGAAACAGTTATTATCATCAGTTTACAATATACTGTTTGATATTTATGGTCAAATTGAGCATGTTCTCAACACTGTTGATTCGCAGGACCGAACCTATGTATATTTTACTTCATCAACTAGCAGTAACAGTGTTGGTCCCCCGAAGTATGATATTTCAAAGGAACAATTAAGGATTTTAAGAACAACAGGACTGAGTAGGACCAGAATATCAGGATTACTTGGTGTTTCTAAAGCTACGTACATTATATAGACACAGAATAGCAATGAAGTTCTTAGAACCTCAGTGTGGCCAGATCCTCTAACCTCATTCTGTGCTGACGTCTAGCCGCGTTCAGCCACCTATCGGTAAACCCTGGAACCCGAAAGTCTATTTCTGCACACACTGGTACAACCAAATATAAACTTTCGCGACGCGCAAATATAGACTTTCCTGACACGCAAATATATAAAGATTTCGTCATATATAAAATTTGTGCATTTGATATAGACTTTATTCTATATAAATTCAGTGAAAATTTTATATATTACAAATAATAATTATGAACCAAACGGCGTGAGGCATACTTATAAATATTGAAATTTCGTCGCACTTAAATATATAGAACATTTTTCACACGATATAAGAAATGTTGCATATAATATTGATAAGTCATGGAAACCATCCATTCTCAAAGTGGCCCAGTATTTTTCAAAGGGAGAAAAACCAATAACTCGACCTGAGAACGCGGGAGAACGCGTAACGAAATTACCCGTAAACAATCCAATGCAAATATGGGATTCGACTTACGTATACATCCTCTATTTCTGTGAGACAAGTGCAAGAATATCATTATAATCAGGAAGAGGTCCAAGGTACATCAACTAATAAGTTGCTGTAGAGGGTGCCCCTACCACTACCCATTCCCCACGCCCCTGATTTCAGAAAATACTCGATATTTTCAAATTCGGCATAAAAAGTTAAATGCATGTACACAATTTCGTTTTTGAATCACCAAGAAGATCATCATCTCAGGCTCTCCATCAGATGGCTTCAAATCCTCAGGGGTCAATTTCTCGACCCATGTTTAATTTTGTTTACTATTTTTGTTTCTAGAATTAGTGGTTGAAATCTGTCTATGTAATTTCGAGACACCCTGTATAGAGGTAGAGCCGATAATCAATTTGTTGCCTATAATTGGAACAGATACCTCATAAGTACTAGAAGTTTGTTCCTCTTATCACAATGCGTCATTCTTTCTCTCAGGTCTGAAGAACATGACTACTCCTGCCGATCAAGACTCCTCTGTCATCACCCGCTCGCTGGACGTCCGGTGGCCGATGCCTCAACTGTCCCTCACTCCCGAGAACCTCCAAACCTACCCGGAGCGGCCCGTCAACGCCATCTTGGAATTCCCCGAGGTGATGTGTCCGCCGAAAGCGGATACTCCGGCCAGCGCCATTCCCGAGTTCTGGCTGGAACTCTACTATTGCGGACAGTCGCTGCTTACCTGTGATAATAGTGAAACTGGAATGAATAGAAGCGCTCAGGTTTGTATATAAATGTATGCCACCGACATAACCTACTATCTAGATCGCTAATGCTCATCACAGCCTTTCCAGAACCTCATAAATTTTCAAATTCAAATAAATGCCTCGAAAACAAAGCTGTGGATCTTTTTCGTAGAGTTTCCAGTCAAACCAAAGATTAGGAGAGGGAGAAGGAGATACCGACCCCTATTATCTACGTCACTATCTTCAAAGTATCCCAATCATTCCTTAGAGACGTAATAGAGTAGTCCGTGTGCGAAAATTGATCGAAATTGGTCGAATGGTATGAAAGATAAGTATTATGAGTAATTCAATTTTTGCCCAAAACATTCTCAAGCAAACTGATTTTCATGAAAGTCTACTTCTTTCCCGTTGTTATATCGCCTATCAGTATTGATTACGTTCAACCAGGAACACCTCAGCAAACACACATAATGTCTGCCATATGGCAAATGGAGCTCATCAGGGTTCCGAGAGAAACATCACTATGCAACGTTTCTATATTTCATGCAATATTTGTTCTTGTTCAGGTGAATACATGAGGGGAAACATATCATATACACATATATGATGCTTCAAGGGCCATACAAAAATTGTACAGTCGAATGATGCATGTATGGTAAAGGAAACAAGTCGCATGTTTCACTTAGGTCTCGAAACTAAAGAAGATTATTTTGGGACATATATCATTTCGCTATTAGATGACGGTAGAAAGGACCCCGCACTTTTTCTATATAAAAATGGCGTTCCGTCGAATTTCCCCAATTTTTGGTAAATGATAGTACTCGACATACTGATTGAATATGCCAAGTCCCAACTCAATCCTATGACTAGTTTACGAGATACAGGGTGTTGAAGTTGAAGAATACCTAATTTTTCTCGGCCTATATCTCTAAGATAGGACAAATGAATTCCAATTTTTCGGGAGCACGTAATAGTTATGCCCTTAGGCGCAAGAACTATATAGGTATTCGACCAAAACTGATTTTTATTACAGGGTGATTCTCATTTCAAATAATGTGTTTTTTTGAATATCTGAATATCAATGCTACAAATTGATAACAATTACAAAATGAGATTTATAGCCAAGTATGCTCTTCTTACATCAATTGAATTCGTAAAATATAATAATTATACATGGTGTTTCATTAATGCTGTTGATTGCATAATTGGTCTATCCTAAAGTTCATTGGGCCACCTCGTATTATCGGGTTGATTCCAGACATTCAAAATATTTTTGAAGGATGTATCCCAATGAGTTCCATGATATACAGAGTGATTCATCGTTTGAAAAAATTGACAACCACGAAAAAATATTCAAAAACCACTATTTTTTTCATCACCCTCTAATTCGAAATTATTACCGTCGATGTAAGATTTTTTTCCACCAATATACTCAGTATGGATATTTCAATCAAATTGGGAATTTTCAGACCCATGCTATGACTAGTTTTTTTTATACATCGAATAATGTGAAAATAATTATGGAAAAGTAATTACATAATAACACGAAAAATTGCTCCGAATCGCAAAACTAGTAGTCACTAGTCAACTATGTCAAAAAATGTGATTTGTTCGTAAACAAAATCTAGTGGTCTTATTATAGGTCCGCTAGCAAAACATCTCGAAAATGTTTTTCAGAAAACATCAAACAAATCACAATATGCCCCCGAAAAAATCTCATCAACGACACAACTCATCAACGATCCCACTCATATAAACGTGCTAAAACTCATGAGCGTTCCAAGTCGACAGCGGTTTTTCCCAACTCAATCCTATGACTATACTTTTCGAAAAAAATATGAAACTAAACTTCCGCAAACGCCTAGTGAGAGGTGCGCGTTAATATATTTTGCAACTCTCCTTTATCCAACCAACTTCCAATCTTTTGATCATACTGTATATTGTTAGAATCGAAGTTAGTATATGCACATCGGAAAGACACTAAAGTTGGAGTTTTGGTTATGTAGATATTCGTTACCGGGTTCAGTATAGACTTGAAAGAAAAATGGAATACAGGAACATCAGTAGGTACCGAGGAATCATCATTTATCCAACACATCAAAAATATAGTAAAATAATAATGAAACAATCTCGAAGCCTCTTTCTTCCACTCAATATCAATTCAGAATTGCAATCATAGATTTTGAAAAAATACATAAACCAACTCGTTTTCCAACAACATCTATTTGTTGGAAGAAATAGTGGCATTAGGTAATGTATATCGTAAGATATACATACCGTAATAGATCGATAGACATCCTCAAATAACTATAAAATTATATTTTAGGGTAAGTTCTAGTCCCAATTCAAGTTGACAACTGATATTTTCGGAATCGGCGGGGTCGAATTAGTCTAGAAACTTGGGTTGTCACGAATTAATAAGTATGTTTTACTTCGTAGAAGTCGAATTTGGATTATCGCAACCAGATAGAATATTTTTCAGTAGGCTTAGAAAACAAAATCATGATATCAATAAATGTGTCTGTCATCCAGCAACTTTCGGGTTGTCAGTATCTTAAAATATCATATCAGCGTATATCTTTATTCTGAGTGTTTTTTAAGTCGTTTTCAGTAATTGTTTAGTGAATTTAGTGCGCATTATGGCATTTGCAAATAGGGTAAGATGTTATGTATGCGAAGGGAATTTCATTCCTAGACTCACAATTCGTATAAATCGTGAAGATAATGTTGATTTTCTGCAAATTGCAACATTTAGAAGACAAGCTGCTGGAAATCCTCCAATTGACATTTTTGATGATACCAGAGTTTGTTTCAATTGTCATAACAGTGTAATAATTGATATCAATGAGATGGAAAATAACCCAAACTGTCTTCGCCTAAATGTATTGAGTCCAGTAATGAGCCGTGCCTGCATAATCTGTAATGCTCGTCAACATGTTCAGAGAATAACTCTTGCATGTAGGGTGAACATTTTTGTTGTAACGAATATTTATGTTCCGGACTTTCTGAGAATTTGTGGTCATCATCTTGACCCTCATGGATTTCTCTTGAATAATTTGCATGGAGGTTTGAATTTTATCAACAAACCCTATTTGATATCAAATATGCTTCAATTTCTACAGTGTATGAGAACAGTTGCCAATGAAAATAGACGTATTAGAAACTGGGATGATATTGATAGTTTTACAGAAGAAGAGTTCAAAGCTCTGACGTCGATTTCAAAAGAAGATTTTCAAGAACTTTATGGATTTTGTGATACAATCGAGCAAGGGGGAAATAGAAGGCATATCAAAAAGAAACATTTACTGACATTTCTAATCAAAATGAAACATGGAGTTTCAGATGAGTTTTTGAAAATCTTGTTTCATTTTTCTTCAAGACAAACAACTAGCTTGATAATATCGAATGTGAGGATATCTCTAATGCAAAGATTTGTAACTAATAATATTGGTTTCGACTCTATTACAAGAGACGATTATATTAATAGACACGTGTCTGTATACACCAATCAGCTATACAACCCTTCTCCCAATATCCCAAAAGCAATTGTGTATATAGACTGTACATACAGGGTGATTCAAAAGTAAGCGGCATCCTTTCAGAGGCGTATTCCTTGCTTGAAAATAAGGCAAAAAGTTCCTATTGATAAGGATCCGAAAATGCTTCCTAAGGGAGCTACGGCCCTTTGAATAGGACACCTCAAAGACGGTTTTTTCTCTATAACTTTAAAATCCTTCACAACAAATTTTTAAAAATTGGTGTACGGCATAAACATTCGATGGTAAATAGGACTCCGTATTCGAAATTTCAGAATTTCATTCAGGGGCGTCACATGCGGGAGAGGGTAAGTGTAAAAATATCCCTTCTTCTCCGGATATTCAGGTTACTGTGATTTCGTTTGGAAATTATTTCGAATACGGAGTCCTATTTACCATCGAATGTTTATGCCGTACACCAATTTTTAAAAATTTGTTGTGAAGGATTTTAAAGTTATAGAGAAAAAACCGTCTTTGAGGTGTCCTATTCAAAGGGCCGTAGCTCCCTTAGGAAGCATTTTCGGATCCTTATCAATAGGAACTTTTTGCCTTATTTTCATGCAAGGAATACGCCTCTGAAAGGATGCCGCTTACTTTTGAATCACCCTGTATAACAAAATAGAAAAAAGTAGTAATTTCCGGATATTGAGACAATCCTACTGCTTCCATAAAAATGAGCACCTGGTTAAGCCTGAAATTATGGTCGCTCCTGATGGCTACATCTTGGCAATTAATGGTCCATACTTTTCTGATGCTAGAAATAATGATGCCACCATTCTGCAGCATGAGCTACAGAATGATATAAATAGAATGAGGACATGGTTTCAAGAAGGCGATGTAGTGATAGTCGATAGGGGTTATAGGGACTCTATTGGTCTTTTACAGGATCTTGGTCTCCATTACCATATGCCACCATTTCTACCACCAAACCAAAGACAACTCACAACAATCGAAACTAATAGGGCACGCTTAATTACTAGCACCAGATGGATTGTAGAGGCTAGAAATGGGCATTTCAAATCGATTTTCAAATTTTTCCGAGGAGCGATATCAATAACACATGTTGCAAAATTACGCGAATTCTATTTGATTGCTGGCGCCCTAATAAACAAATACCATCCTCCAATAAGGATGCCGGGCACATTGGAATTAGCTACACAAATGTTGCATGATATCGAAGAAGTCAACATTGTTCAGGCCCGAGTTGAGGCTGAAAACCTCCGTACAAGAAATGGTCGATGGTTTCGTTTGAACCATAGACATGTACCGACGTTTCCTCGACTTGACTTAGAATATTTGAAAACACTCACAGGGTCATATCACATTCACTTAGCTGCCTCCTACATACAAGACACGATACAAAGAGATGGAGGGGAACAAAATACACTCGATATTGACGAACTCATTGAGGAACCCAATTTTTTAAGATTTCGAGTATTTTCTCGGTTCAGAAATGCCACTAAACATATGCTGTGGTTAGTATTCAGAGAAATCGATGATAATAATTTACAAGATCCGCCCATTTTAGGGTACTACTGTACTTGTAGGTCCGGTGCTAGAACATTAGGGACGTGTGCACACGTAGCCAGTGTGGTATGGTTCCTTGGATACGCAAGAAACCAAGGAAATATTACCTTTCCATCTGATCGCCTTTTGAATTGTATCGACGATGCTGCAAATCGATTGAATCCTGAAAATATGAACATCGGTCCGGAACTGATTTGAATCTGGCGATTAGTTGATTTCTGTGTTCCTTGTGAAACATAATTATAGTAGTAGTAGTAGTATATGTCCTTCGTTGGTAGGTATGTACATACCAACCAACCATCGATCCCTAATGAGGTCCTTTAGCCCATAGTGTTCTGAACATGTATCTATATTGTATGTAGGCACGCAACAGTGAATCGTGCAGGACTATCCCCAGCCGATGCTCCGAAACTTCACAATATTTAATTCGTATATTAATATTCGAAAAATTCCTTGCGCTGTCTGGGAATCGAACCCACGACCCCGCAGTCCTGACTCGGGTGCTCGTCCACTGCGCCAATCCTGCCTACACACAATCATATTATAGGTATTGGAACTTTCACTTTCTAACGTGGACTAGGCCTACAGGGGATACCACAATAAAAAAAAACGCGCCTGAAACTCTACCTCTCAGGTGGTGGGGAAACGAGTTGGTTTGTCTATTTTTTCAAAATCTGTGATTGAAATTCTTAATTGACATTTTTCTTTCAGGCCTATACTGAACCCGGTAACGAATATCTACATAACCAAAACTCCAACTTTAGTGTCTTTGCGATGTGCATATACTAACTTCGATTCTAACAATATACAGTATGGTCAAAAGATTGGAAGTTGGTTGGATATAGGAGAGTTGCAAAATATATTAACGCGCACCTCTTACTAGGCGTTTGCGGAAGTTTAGTTTCATACTTTTTTCGAAAAGTAGTCATAGGATTGAGTTGGGAAAAACCGCTGTCGACTTCGAACGCTCATGAGTTTTAGCACGTTTATGAGTGGGATCGTTGATGAGTTGAAAGTTGATGAAAGGGGTGCGTAGAATAGTTGTGTCGTTGATGAGATTTTTTCGGGGGCATATTGTGATTTGTTTGATGTTTTCTGAAAAACATTTTCGAGATGTTTTGCTAGCGGACCTATAATAAGACCACTAGATTTTGTTTACGAACAAATCACATTTTTTGACATAGTTGACTAGTGACTACTAGTTTTGCGATTCGGAGCAATTTTTCGTGTTATTATGTAATTACTTTTCCATAATTATTTTCACATTATTCGATGTATAAAAAAAACTAGTCATAGCATGGGTCTGAAAATTCCCAATTTGATTGAAATATCCATACTGAGTATATTGGTGGAAAAAAATCTTACATCGACGGTAATAATTTCGAATTAGAGGGTGATGAAAAAAATAGTGGTTTTTGAATATTTTTTCGTGGTTGTCAATTTTTTCAATCGATGAATCACTCTGTATATCATGGAACTCATTGGGATACATCCTTCAAAAATATTTTGAATGTCTGGAATCAACCCGATAATACGAGGTGGCCCAATGAACTTTAGGATAGACCAATTATGCAATCAACAGCATTAATGAAACACCATGTATAATTATTATATTTTACGAATTCAATTGATGTAAGAAGAGCATACTTGGCTATAAATCTCATTTTGTAATTGTTATCAATTTGTAGCATTGATATTCAGATATTCAAAAAAACACATTATTTGAAATGAGAATCACCCTGTAATAAAAATCAGTTTTGGTCGAATACCTATATAGTTCTTGCGCCTAAGGGCATAACTATTACGTGCTCCCGAAAAATTGGAATTCATTTGTCCTATCTTAGAGATATAGGCCGAGAAAAATTAGGTATTCTTCAACTTCAACACCCTGTATCTCGTAAACTAGTCATAGGATTGAGTTGGGACTTGGCATATTCAATCAGTATGTCGAGTACTATCATTTACCAAAAATTGGGGAAATTCGACGGAACGCCATTTTTATATAGAAAAAGTGCGGGGTCCAAATTTGCGGCCGGCTCTCTAACTATATGCTCATATTCAATAATCAGAATCAGAAATTGTGATCAGTGATACATTCCTTTCTTCGGACTGTAAACTCAATCATAATCATTCATTACAGTTGATAATGATAAGAAGTCAATCATAAAAAGATTATATAAGTAACACGACTCAGAAATTGATCGCATGGAACACAGGAACGAATCAAATAGATATAGTGACGATAGTTTCAACTGACTTGATATCACTAAATTTCTTCAAAATATCAAACACTCACACGAAATGGATAACTTCATTGATCACATGTAGAATAGGAACGAATCAAAAAAAGATATAGTGACGCTAGTTTAAACTGAGAGACTTTCATGCGTAATTCATTATCATCATCAGCTTCAGAAGCTTATTATACAGGGTGTTACATAATTCAATACGAATATTTCAATGACATATTCCTGGGGTCAAAATAAGACTTTCTTTCCTATAAACATGTGTCCTAAAATCCACCCCCTCCAAGCTACAGACATCGCAAGATGCGCAAAAAAAATCTTAAATTTTGAATTGTGGCTACAATTATGCATCAAATATTTTGAAAATTCACAGGCACTTGTATTTTCAGACGATCTATTCATTTCTTGATTCAAAAATAAGGTAACTCGAATCGAAAGGGGTGAATGAGGGTTGCATACAGATTTGATGGCAAACATTTTCTAGTTCCTCTAAAAAAATTCGAATTCAAACATCATCGTTTAATTGGCCACTAAAAAATCATACATTTCAGTTTCTTGCATTTTCTTGAATTAGCTAACCGTTTTAGAGAAAATCGCTAGTAAATGGAAGGGGTGTATTTTCAAATTATTATACTAAAAAAACTTAATGAGCTATGATTATGTTTGTCTCTGGTAACTAATGATTAATTGATATCTTTTATGCCAAACTGACATCGTGGTATGTCATGACCGTCATGTCACAATCGATTCACTTTCCTCAACTTACCATTACACGCTTAGAAAACGGTTCAATTACTACAAATGTTTGTAGCTTGGAGGGGGTGGATTTTAGGACACATGTTTATAGGAAAAAAAAGTCTTATTTTGACCCCAGGAATATGTCATTAAAATATTTGTATTGAATTATGTAACACCCTGTATTATATGACCCCCAACTTCTTTGATGCGTTTTATTCCCACAACTATAATTATCCCGTGTAGCTGAAACTTCAGTCAACTCCACACCATTGTCATCTAAACCTCTAACAACACTGACCTTTTCGTCAAATCCCTTTAACAGCCATTCCTGCATTAATGAGTATGTGTCGTCCACTAATCATGCTTTTTTTCTTCCAGGTGCTGTACTCCGAACAGGTCCGCGGTTTTCCTGGCAAACGCGTCCTCACTTTGCGATGCGAGCTGTTCGGACTTGCTGGCCATTACGCCCTTTTTTTGCGGCCTACTGCGACGGGGATACCGCTAGTGGCCTTGCCTCACACCGCCGCCTATGTCAAGGTGAGCAATACAAAATCTACATCAAAACACAGATGAATGAACCTCACAAGATATTGACACAAGGTTGTGCATCTTCCGTTACCTCGGGGACTATTTGTCCATAGAATTTTGATCACTTGTAATTCCTATCACGAGAAAATTTTCTAGTAAATAGGAAGATAAACTGAACTATTAGACACGAGATAGCACTATTTTCTATTAGCAACTGAATTTCTCACCAAACAACAACAATTAAAGGTATACTACGAATATTCATAGGGCCATTAAAATTGAGAATTCAATTCTCATTCTATCGCCCTAGAACGGAATCTTCCTCAGAATGATATAGCTGGACACATAAAAAAAATCCTTCTTCCTATAGACTTCCCAGGCAACCAAATGACGAATGATCACGTCACTGTGACGTCCTTATGACGTACTTTCTATGAAGTGATAATCACATCATCATCTCGACGTCGAGTGCACGTCACTTAACTGAGTAAAATGAGACGTCAGTTTCATGACGTTGCAGAAACGTCCTGTCGACGTTCATTTTACCCAGATCATCTCTAAGCCATGTATACTCACATTATCATGTGGATTGTTTGTGACGTACCTATATATACAGGATGGACATTTCGAGTGTCGAAAAGTTTTCAGAAAAACTCATTCATTCAAAAAATTTTTCACACATATATTGAAACATGACGTTATTAGAAGTATAACTCATTGAACCGAATCAACCTGCAAGTTTTATTGGAATTATTTTTTTTCCATAAAAATTAGGAGAACACTTTTTCAAACTCTGACACCCTGTATATTTCGGGAACCAATCAAGCTATATGAATATGTATACATATAAATGGTAATATGAATGTACCTATTGAAAACGTCACTTTTATGACGTTGCAGTGACGTATATATGACGTCCAAAAATCAGGTCGGTGTGAAGTACCAATTTGGTGAGTTCCTTCTTCCAGAAATTTTCCAAAAAATTGCTATTTAGATTTTTGTTGGATGACAATGAATGCATGAATATACGCTATTCAACAAAGTGAACCTAAATACGCCAACATCCTTTTCATTGCTATCAAACTATTCTTGGTTTACTTACATCTCGCCGACACGAAGTACTTAATTTCTGATACCAGCACGAGTGACAGATATCTCTCTGATGGACATGCGTACTGAAGGATAGCGCTGCTGAATAGACGATTGAATTGACATGACACCGGAGGGACCACCAAGCACCTTGGTCATTCAAGTGACGTGAAAAGACGTCACTGAAACGTCATCTGGTTGTGTGGGTTGGTTAGTAAATCAGCTACTCTACTATAGATGTGAACACACATAAACTTGATCAACCCACCACTGATTCCTTCACGAATGCAATTATTATATTTCATGTTTGTTCTAAAATTTGTTCTATCCGTCATTCGGTTGCCCCCTTACGAGCAACCCTCAAAAGTCTTCGAAAGTCTTGTGCGAGCAAGGAATGACGGGGGTCTTACCTTTTAACGTGTGATCCCAAACACTTTCTTGGGCCATCAGAAAAATTTCTGCAGTCGACGGGGATCGAACCCACGACCGGCAAGCGGATGCGAATTAGAATATAGACACTCTGTCCGCACGGCTACCTGGCCACAGGTGTAAGGATATTATGCGGGCAAGATGTTTGTTCTTCCCGTGGAAAGGTGAATTGTACTTTTGATACACTAGAAGGATGTCTTATGCACATATTCCTTATCCAATATTCTCAACCGAAATTGTTGTCTTTCACAATTGCATGAAACTGTTCCAAAGAGCAACTACTATTACCTCGACTCTATATTTCTTCTTCTAATTTTGATATTTCAATATTGGTCATACAGGGACGTTCAAATTAGCAAAAATTAGGTATGTTTTATGAGCACTCCGAATCTAGTACTATATAGAATGCGAAAAAGCATCGTTATCCCAAACATTTTTTATAAACTGGGTATTTTCTGTATGGAACACCGTGTATTTTCCTAAACGGTAGAGCTAAAATACAACCTAACCTTGAAGAGGCATCATTTTATTGCAGAGATGGTTAGTTTCGGAATGCCTACTGTTATCACATATTATGGGGATTAGTACCCAAACATACGCTGTTGTTCTTAGATTCCATCCAGAGAAGAGCCATTCGCCTGATGGTGGGTCACGCTCACTAATCTTTGACGAACTCATTTGAACACCGTAAAAAAGTCGGCTTCCTTTTACTTTTCTATACAGATACCTACTTCCACGGGAAATGTTCCTCAGATATATTAATTCCACCAATAACAATATCAGTCAGACGAACTCGACAGGCCGAGTCAGCACTTCCTTTCGTTGTCAACCTCGAAATATGTGGAAACCCGTTCGTCTATAGAACGGCAAAGCTTTAGAATTCTTTGCCAATGGAAGTATTCCCGTATTCCCATTAACTCAGAACCGTCAGAAGATAAAAAAAAAGTTTCTCAAGCTGTGGTGTTCGCCATCCTGATCGTGGCAGAGAGACAAGAGGTGAAAGAGGGACCAGAGCAGAAGATCTACATCTGTTAGGATAGTCAGGCAGTACTGAAGGCTATCTGTCATCCCACACCAAGCTCGGCATTGGTACAGGAATGTGGAAATGCCCTCGAGATATTAGCCGAATCAAAGGAAGTTGAACCGGAGCCTGTACTAGGTATAGCAAGGAGCCAAAATACGTCAGCCCTTGACGCCAAGCACTCCGCCTTATCATAGGAGTACTCACAGAACACAGCAGGCTAGGCAGACAACTAACACTTATGAGAATAGAGGACAACCCCACTTGTCGCAGATGAGGGGAAGACGAAGAAACGTCACTCCATTTTCTCGGCAAGTGCAAGGAGTGCGGGAGGCTGAGATTTGAAATCTTTGGAGTCGACAAACTCCAACAGGAGGAGTAGATCATATCAGAATGGACGGACATACTGGCCTTCATCAGAAGGTCAGGGAGATTCGTAAAAGAAATCTAGGTGAAGGAAGAGTAGATATGTGGAGAGCAGGGGTTAGCAAAAAGATCCCATAGGGGTCTACTTGCTTGGATACAGACCTCCCACCTACTACTACTACTACTACTAATTTCGTGCGCTTCAAGAGATAAACTGAATTTTGCCCTAGCGCTTTTTTTACACTCACTATTTCCTCATGGACTATTTACAGTTATACACAGTTATCATTCCTGGGTAGGTATACATGTTTCATGATATGATACAGCTATTGTTGCTTGCTCAATGCTCATGTCAATTAAATTGAAAACGGGTGAAGAGGCAAATACGATCAAAGGAAAAATATCCACACCATTTTAAACGAACGGACGATGTAATTAGTTTAATAAATGTTGAACTCGTCGATGTACCTACTCTTTGAAGTTGAGAGTTTCACTAAAAGCGTGTAACCAGTGCGACGTCCGTTGTTTAGTCAGAAATTAATCAAATTGCATTGGAGCTTCTCGCTTTTTCTATTTGATTGGATTTCTTCCTAGTTGGTTCAGAAGGTACATTCAACTTACTAGCAGATGCCAAACTTTCGAAGATAATTATATACGTCTTCAATTTCATGAAAATAAAGTAATTAGGTGATTCGTGCTTATTGAGAAGTACCTACCTAACTAGTGCGATTTTCAGCTCATTCTAATATTGTTTGTAACAATTGATTGGGCGATGAAAAATGATAATAGATAATATTCACCACTTTTTCCAGAAATTAAAGACATATACAGGGTAATCCTTGAGTAATTGTACATAATATATGTGGTAGGTTTTGACCTCTAATTATCACGATTTGAGTCAACTTGCCTTGATGAAATTTTGCTAATGAAAGAGATACTGGGTGTCAGAGTTGATATTTTGACATTCACTTAGAAATTTTTGAATAGTGATGCATACAAATTTCAGAACTAAGGAGTTTTCTAGTATGAGAAATTAAAATTCAGTACCTACATAAGCCAATTAGAAACATTTTTATCACTAATTCGAAGTCAAAACTTGTGAGGGGTTGGGAAGAGTGGTACCTATGGTTTATACAAAATAAATGGGACTCAATCTGAAGTTGATTAAAGGTTAATGTTTTTACATACAAGGTGTTCCTTGAAGAGATGCTAATATTTGAGTAGTTGATTCTTTGACTCATTTGGAGAAGGGAACTCAACATGAACTCATGTCCTAAAAGTCTCAACTTTGGAGAAACAGGGTGATATAGTTTCGAGAAAAAAAAAACAGTTTTTCGATAATAACTGGAATCATATGCGTGAGACATTTTCATGAAATTCAGGATATGTTTTTTATGCATCAATGTGCATTTTATGATGTAAGGAAATTTTCATTTTCTCTACCAGTGGGGTCCGTACGGGTTTCCTATTCAAGATTTTTTGAGAAAAAAATACTACGCCATTGCTTTCTCTCATAATGAATATCACTTCTAAGATACTCATTCATTCTTGAGCAAATTCGATATCGTGAGTTTTCTTTGTCCCACGCATGGTATTCGCTTGAAAAAATAAAAAACGGATCAATTCCTTGAAATTCTCATGCGGTGTGGAAATGTTTGTGCATCGGCTGAAAGCACATTGAAAGATAAGATTTTTTCCAAAATGAATGATGATCCAATGTAATATTTTTTTCTAGTCAGATGCAGTGTTCTTGAAAAAAATAATTGAATTATACTTTCTTCAATCCGCAGCACCGATTAATTTTTTTTTGAAAACATAAATCCAGTTATCCTGGAATTATTGACGTTTTTACAAACGTCGATGAAAACCATAGCTGTTGAATAAAAGAAAGTTATTTTGAAAATCCAGTGTAAGAGGAAATCATTCCCAGAAATTTGTTTAGTTGCTATCGTAACGATCAAGGTACCGATATCCAAATTCATTTGGTCGAGAATGATAGATGTGAAAATTTTATATTATCACTTTTGTGATAGTTTTTATTTGATATTTCTCTTGTAATTAATGAGAAACGTTCAAAATGCCTTCCACGTTGATATTTTCCATAAGGAATTGAACGAGACTTATTCAGCAGATTTCCAAA